CTGTCGCTGCTGTGATTGCTGTTGCTGCTCATCTGACATGTTAAGTTTTTACAGTTCAAGCTACACAAGAAAAGGAAACAGATAAGTTTATATTTTATGAATTTGTATTAGAATATAAAGCAAAATATAATAACGCATTCATACATCTCAACACGCACAGCAATGGTTCGAACGCCCAAAAAGTTGGCACGCAAATTGTATAGGAGTGCAGCTTATCAGGCAGGATGTTTGACTAGTAAGACAAGTTGTTTTTGATTTGAATGGGAGGAAACATGAAACTTAAGATTTATATTTTTCGTAAGGCAAAATCGGAATCTCAGCATGTCTTCGTCGACTCACAATTTCCTTTATGTAACTGCAATCTGAGAATAAACACACTTAAATTAAAGCATGTTAATGCTAAGGAAATGTATTTGTCATTAAATAACTAGTAAAGTGGAATATGAGTTAGCAGAATTAAAGCGAGCAGTGCCTTTCTGCATTACAAGAAACTGTAAAAACAATATTTTATTTATTTAATTTAAGTGAAACTGATTAAAATTCCATTTAAGTCACACAAAAGAACTTAGAATATCCCAGTTTTTATAGAACAGTTAATGAAACTACTTGTTGTTGTTTTTGTAAGGAATAGATATAATTTTTTTATTTATTTAAAGCGATTTAAGATTAAATCCATTCGTAGATGCTTCTGTGGTGACATGATATGTAAATTGCTGTCTATAAGCTTTGGTGAATTCTGTAGCTTCGATGACAATAAAGGTTGCAATTTCTAAATTGAATAAATTAAACGTTGTTTTGTATAAGTTTTCACAAAGGTGTTTTTGCTAGTTTGTTGTTAACGAGATCCTCTATCATTTGTTTATAATATTCCTATAAGCCTGGTCACAGTTGTCCGTATCCGGTTTATAATTTAGTCTCTTGCTATTCGGGATTTTCAGGTACTTTCTATAAATGCTTTCACAACTAAAAATCCCGAATAGCAAGAGACTAAATTATAAAACGGATACGGACAACTGTGACCAGGCTTATAGGAATATTATAAACAAATGCCACAGGATATTGTACATGTTTTTTTATTATTTTTATTATCTTTTTTGTTGTTGTTTTTGTTGTTATAATTATTATTGTACTTATTGTATGATTTTCTTTCTAATTTTCCCATTTTAAAAATTTTACATTGTATAATTCGTTAGGTTTCCTGAAGATGACTATCGCAGACAATCAAAATATCTGAATGATATTTTAATAAAATACAATTTCTTTCAATATAAATAAAAAATTAGCCCGTAGAAACAAATTGTTATTTATGTGCATTAAATATTTGACCCAAGAAGCTGGCCAAATTCGTTTCCGATATTTAAAAAACTGGAGAACACTATTTTAATGGTCTTTTTTATGCCATCTGTATTTTTGACGAATAAGGTGTTGGCAGTAGAAAACAAATTAAATAAGTAATTTTTGGATTAAAGCGAATAATAATTGTGAAGTTTTTAATTTTCAAAGAATTATGAAACACCAAATACTAGCTCTTTTGTCATTTAATAACTACATGAAAAGAGGATGTTTTAAAAAATTATTTTGTTTTCATCACATTTTGTAATGTTTTGCTTTTCAGTAGATGAAAGCTATCGAAAGAAACAGAACACTTAGACAGAGAAGGTATATTGAACTGTGAATCTCATTCCGATAAAGTGCAAAAACTTTTAACTTATATTAAGAAAGCGGAGAATGAATACCATAGAATCGGAGATAAGGAACTGATATTTGAGCTACTTCCGACTTTCGTACTTGGTGTACTTTAAGTGTAAGTCTTGAGACAGCAGAACAGAAACATATGATATGTTGCATAGTGATATCGTGCTACAAACAAAGTGGACATAAACTATTGTCTGAAAACCAAAATAAAAGAATATTTTACACTAGTGGAGTGACCAGTGATCGCACGAATATGTAATCTACTGTGCTTGCAACATATAATCACACGATAGCCTGTAGTCTTTCCCCTGAGTTTAGGCTTGTAAAATAAAATTTTACAAACAAAATATTATGCTTCAACATGGAAGAATAATAATAAAACAATAACAAAAGTAACAAGTATTACAAACCACCACCAAATTTAATACAATAAATAATAACAGAACAATAATAAAAACTTATAAACAAAACGCCGTTGCATTCGCAAGAACAAACCACTAGCATACATCACACTTCTCCGGTATAAAAGGCGAAGCAAAATCGCAATCGACACAGCGACCTTACGATCAGATCGTATTCATAGTGCCGCCTAAATGCAAGGAAGAAATTTACATTTCTTCAACAAAGCAATTTTCAAGCGGGTTAGAAATCCACATTTCTAACCCAAGATCAATTATACTTCGAAGAAATTCACATTTCTTCAGCAGTCATTCTCAGGACAGTCAGCAAGGTAACGAGCTAGAAGACAGATCGCTCCAAACATAAGTGCCTAAGCATCAGGAATAGAAATTCTCATTTCGGTTCCCATTTTTTTTTTTGTAATAGAAATACACATTCCTATTGCATATTTATTATTAACGAAATCAACATTTCGTTAGTAGCTCCGTAGAATAGAAATTTACATTGCTATTCCCATGTCTTTTATTAAGTAATAGAAAAACACATGTCTGTTGCTTATTTATTACTAACAAAATCAACATTTCGTTAGCAAATCAAGTGGTAAGGTGATAATTACACAGAGATATTATCACCCATACCAAATAAACGGCTAACGAAATAAACATTTCGTTAGTGACCATTTCCAATGTGGGGAAAATTCCCATTTGCGATCACCAATAAATCGTTCCTGCACAAACGAAATACACATTTCGTTAGTAACCGTACAGGGCGTGGTAGATATTTACATTTCTACCACGAATCCATTGATTTCACAGCAGAGAAACCTAGTTTCCAGTAGCAAAACCTCTGTCTATGGCATACGTCATACCATTGCAAACTTTCCACTGCTCCTATCAAATAAATTTATTGTAGAAGTGTACCTGGAATCCGGTTCCCAGGTTCGTTATACAGACTGAACAAAGTAGTGTCCCTGCAACCATCGTGATTTCGCAATTCATTATTTGATTCGGATTGAATACTACCACCAACCAGGTGCTGTACTAGATCTGATTTTTGTAAGTTCATCCGTAACTTAATTTCCTGATATACCGAAATCGTTAGGAACTCATTAAATTGTTAAGTCGTTGTATTTAAGGACAGAATTTATCGTGATTTTATTATTCTCGCACATCACGATTTAGTCAATTTTGAAAGTTGCAGTATTGAAATTACTGAATGGAAAATTTCAGAGATTGAAACAATCAAGAAGTTGCCACAGTAGATGTTGTTCCAGACGTCCTGTGATTTGAAATATCGTTTCGACATTTTTAACTTTAAAATCTCGTCTGTTAGTATAAAAGACTATGTTGTTTCATTCGATTAATTTTTATAAAAAGGGAAAAAAGTGGACTAATATTTTTTATATGTATGAATTATTTGCTTGCAAAAGTGACAACTTTTTAGAAGTGTTAATTTTAAATAACACAACTCAACTACGT